TCACTGAAGCTCATCGAGAATACGCGTGATAACGTCTGAGCTGAACTGGTATATTGATCACAACTCTGTAAACATCCAGCATTTTTCTTGAATTAAGATAATTTAGCGGTGAATAGGATTGCTGTCAGTCTCAAAATGAAAACGAAATATGCCTATTTACATAAGTGAGGAGCTAAGGCTTATCATTTATTTACATTCACCATTATTTAGAACCCCGAAAGGATTAGCGGTTTAATGAGTTTGGGCTTTCTTGATAGAAATGAAACTTATCATTTGCTGAAGACTTGATTGAATTTATGCAATCGACTGCTATTAAGTAGCTGGTATACTTTGTAAGTAGGAACGCTCTAGTGTCAACGCTGCGTAACGGAATTGACGACTTTTGCGTTCTGGCGCGCCTTATCGGCCCTTATCAATCGTTATCAGTTTCTGGCACCCACCAACAATGTCCCCGTCCCACCCACATAACACTTGTAAGTATGGTTGCTCTGGTGTCAACGCGAGCCAGGCAACGGAATCGACGACTTTTGCGTTCTAGCGCATCTTATCAGCCCTTATCAGTTGCTATCGCTTCCAATCATGTACCACCAATGTCCCGGGACCCACCCCACATAACACTTGTAAGTATGGTTGCTCTGGTGTCAACGCGAGCCAGGCAACGGAATCGACGACTTTTGCGTTCTAGCGCATCTTATCAGCCATTATCAGTTGCTATCGCTTCCAATCATGTACCACCAATGTCCCGGGACCGCCCCACATAACACTTGTAAGTATAGACGCTCTAATATATGAACGGCAAAACGAAATTGGCGATGCTCGCTTTCTAGCCCCTCTTATCAGCTATTATCAGTCGTTATCAGTTCCTATCACGTACCACTTGTGTCCCCATCCCACCCCCTATAACATATGTAAGAACCACTGCGCTATCGTTACTGTGACTCGAGCTATGAATTTCCGGTCAAACACACACACACACACACCAACAGACACACGCTAGCCGCTTATATATAGTAGGATCTCGGTAGTACTAGCCATTGCAATTTACCACTTCCGTTCTTGATGCCAAAATTGAAAGTATTTATCAGTATCAGCAAAAGATCCTTCAAAATGCAAGTTTTCGATGGGTCATTTCTCTAGTGTTGAGCTACTTAAGTGGTTGCCATATTGCGACTCTCATACGAATTATACATTGAAGAGGTGAGTTTCATCGAATTTGCATCACCTAAATGCCCTACCTAAATGTTGCATTTGGAAACATGGTTCTACTTTTTTGTCTGCATTTGTCACTGCTGAGCAACTAAGCACTTGTAGATTAGACCTATAGCATTGATGGCTCATACTTCCTACTACAATATCCTGTTGTGAGACAAAAAAGGGTCACCCATACCAATTAAGAGAACTTGAAGAAAGAGCTCCACACACAGGTCTTCGGTAGTGTAGTGGTGAGTATCTGCGTCTGTGTCACATGCGAGACCCGGGTTCAATTCCCGGCCGGGGAGAATTTTTGCACTTCCACAATGGGTGCTAAGCTGGCTTCACAGCTGACAGCTGATTCAATGCGCGAGCAATCAACATTCACTCTTCACATGAAAAAGCGCTGCACCCATGTGTAAAAGCTTCTAAGTACTCTCTAATATGGAATTTGACCAATTCGTGGTTGATGGGGATTTATAAACGAACCACCATTCTGGAAATCGCCGAAAACATCAAGCCAGGAGCTTGCTGTTCCCGCGCAATGAACAAAGCGATCAAAGGAGCACTCCAAAATGAGGTCAAAGGAACTTTCCTTGTGGGAAGACAGACCGACTCCTTGAGGGTGCGCAATGATACGCAATTCACAGTGAAAAATTTCGGCGATCTAGCATGGTCTTCAGCGCTGTCCAATTGGCGCGTCACTGGCCCGGCGCACCCTCTCTCCCGCAGAGAGAGCATTAGCGTTCAAGAAAGCAGCACCGATGAGAGTCGCATCAATGCAGGAATCACGAGCAAGGAAAGGATCCTATTTTTCGGGCTCTGGGCCATCGTGGTTTTTTCTTCATCCCTGCACCACTGACAACTGCTAGAGGGTTGCCTGGTGATCATGAACCTTACATTTGAGGGCGAGGTAGTGGCAAATGTGATTCTTTGCTAACCATAAGTGTATCGGTAGGGGTCAAATCTCGGATCGAATCCCGGTAAGGTCAACCGTGCTCACCATTCTTGCGGGTTTACTTGTGCTAATGAAGTGTAACTCCTGGGAAGATAAAATCACTGACTTGTACAATGGCTCTCTCATTAAAGGGAGGTGATCGAAGATGGGTGAGAGCGTTCGATAATGAACAGGGCCAAACGGAGCGCCTTCAGAGAGACTGTCGAAAACTCGGAAGAAAACAATAATCTGTGTTCGATAATGTGGAGGCGAGTAGGAGTCCTCCTAGTTTTTCATCTCTCGAGTAGAGGAAAGAAAAAGGATGCTTTGAGACCCTGAGTATCGCGGTCTACTCTGATTGGGTAAATATGAGAGCTCTTCCAGATAATAATGGATACACAGTTGAAAAGCAGCTTATTCACGATAATATACTTGAATGTTGTGATTTTTATTACATCATTATTCTGTGTCAAAAGGAGAACCGCTAAAAGCGTAACAGTGAGTCGCTTTTTCGCTTAAAGGACGAATTCACGATGAAAAAGCAACCCATTTCAAATTAACCTAGGGATGGTGAGTGGTACACGAAAGAAGGAAGAACCATGAGAAACGGCCCAGAACCCGAGAAATGGGACCCCTTCCTTGCCCGTTGATTTGAGCATTGATGCGACTCTCATCGCTGTGCCCTCTTCAACACTACGCTCTCTCAGCTATCTAATCACTCGCCACGTATTGAACTACGGCGAGTGATCAGATGATCGGTGGGCGGAGATCGCCGAACTCGCCAACTTTGAGCCATGCTAGATCTCAGAGGTCAAATCTTTCGATGCCGATTGCGTGTCTGTCCGCACCCTCAAGAGATTCACCGCTCTCCCCACTAGGCGATTTCTCCCTTCTTCGACCTTCGTTCTTTCCGTGCAATCCTCCTTTAAGTCGAACTCGACCTTCGTGTTGCCATGACGAAATGATACCCAGCGGAGCGAGCACGGCTCAACATTGTCTCCTGACTGTTGAGATTTTCTAATGAAAAAAATTGTCATAAGTTCGAAATAAGCTGGGATTTTTAACCAATTTTGCTACTTGTATAACACAAAGAGGCACAAAAATTTATTTCAGAAGGATTGCACTCCATCTGCGCGGCTCCAGCAAGGGCAGCTTTACTTGGCTGAGACAAACACAGCCTGATGAAGGTGTTACACACCAAAATAGCAAAAAATTCAGAAGGGAATTCCTTTTGACCCGATTCTTGGGATTTTTAAATTTTTCTTTCGAATTTTTTCAGATTACTAGGAGTTTTTCTTTTTGAGCGAAATCTTGATGCATTTTTGTGTTTTAGAACATTTAGGCCCTTATGAGGCTTCGGAACAGCACAATACTAAGACATTTTGCTACTGACATACCCCTCGAACATCACAAATAGCAGTCAAGAATGGTTCATTAGTGGGCTGGATAATGTCCAGAGAAAAGAATTCGAGTAGAAAACTGATAATCACTACCTCGACAAACCTTACCCACAAAGTGAAGTATAATAGAAATGAGGTCAAAAGAGTGAAACACAGAACGGAAAGCGGAAGACATCAAGAATTCAAAAAAAACTTCGCAAAACCACTGGGGCGTAGGCGATGCCCAGTGCCAGTAGTTTTCTGCAGTACGCCTAGGTATGAAACAATACCCAAGCTTTGAAGGTGCTCCTTCGCAGACACACTTTCGGAACCAAAATTTCGGCTCGATAGTTTTCAACCTGCTATCTCAAAAAACTAGCAAATGCTAAATCCATCCAAAATAATTCCCCAAAACGTTCAAGCTTATTTTCGAGTGGCCCTTGAGAAAGGATGGAAAGGCTTTGTCGTCTCACGGTTTCATAACGGAAGTGTGCGAAACAAAAGCTAGAATACTAATTTCCTCTCTTCCCCAACTCCCCGATGGAGGAATAGAATCTTATTCAGCCGGAAAAGGTGACGGAGCCGCCCCGAAGAGTCAATGTTCCATTACAACCAAGGAAAATTGAACTCAATCTGAAAGAGGTTAGTCCATGTTTATCGACCGTAAGGTACCCGCTCTTCGATCTTTTTGCTTTTAGTGTTTGATAAAAGATGGTCTACAGACGGGCAAACATGCTTACCCAACCCTCGATGACATAAAAAGCGATTGGGGTGATAAGGAGGAGGTGATGGTCAACACTTGGTGCTTCAACATATTTCGGACTGTTTTCGTCTGAAACTGTGTTGGGCTGCTATGTTACCATGAGCGTTCTGTGAAGCATGCGTTCCATTACAGAAGGAGGGCGACAAAAACGTGCCAGCTGATGCTGGGAATGTCGCGAAAACGGCCGCACCAGTAGCTCCGACGATGACAGATGATGTGAGTTCAGTGCGTGTTTCACTCCAACACTTGAATCCTTAGGTTGAAAATATTCAGAGGACAAAAGATGATGGAACGAAGGAGGAAGAAAAGAAAGGTTAAGGACAAAGATTAATAAATGTTTCTTGAATTAGTTGAATGTGTGCGGTCTCAATAATAACGGTCTCCTCACGTCATTTTGGTTGTGCCAGCCCTTTCCTTTCCGCCGTGGGTTACAAAGTTGAAGGTGGGGGTCTATCATTTCAATACACTTCTGGGTGAGAATCCAGCTCGAGAGGCCACTCCATAGTGTTCTCCAAGAACGCTCATGACAGTAGTTGACTCATTTAAGGCATACTTCTGATATGTATCAGTGTAATGTGGAGGAATATCACATTTTCGCCTGATCGCCCGTCGTGGTCCAAGGAACGGTCCTGGACCAGGAGAAAGGACACCTCCGCAAAGGGCTAAGGGTGCAGGAGCTCCAGGGTGGATCACCTGTGCAGAAAAGTGGATGGGATGTGGGCAGGTAGTGTGGAATGTAGGACATCCACCGGTCCTTATCAAAAGTACGCTCGAAATGAGTCGTCTACCTTTAGCTTATCCATGGCGTAGGGAGCAGAAAAAAAGTGCTCCCAAGTACAACAGCTAAGGTAACAAGGAGTAGCCCCACCCCTTGGATTCACTTCTGTCCCTACTTCCAAGTTCCTTTCCAAAAACGAATGCCTCTAAAGTTAGGGCGGTTCTTCACAAAGCTAACATCTTTATGGCAGCATGTTCTACTAGGCCAAAATTAGTTTTAAGAGTTTTTCGAGCGTAACTATCAATTAATTTAGGGTTGGAGGGGAGAGAGAAAAGCTCACCGGCGGAGCGGATGCGAGCGCGTGCTGGTGACGTCAAAATGACGTCGTAGCTACGGCAGGAACGAGGGTGGGGCAAGCAGCGGTCAGCGCCGCTGTTACTTCGCTGGAATAGCGCTGGGCTTCTGGCAACTTATTTAATCAGTTGTGTCGTGGCGAAATGATGTTATGTACTGGTACTATCTCACTAGGATTTGGAATCTCTTGAAAACGCAAAAGCTTTAATGTGCAAAGTCTCTGAGTACACGTTATGATTGTTTCACGTTCGTCCTTTCGAG